AGAGAGAGAGAAGAAAAAAAAGAAAAAAATTAAATAATATTTTATACAGTCTTAGACAGACACAGGTATTGATACATAGAGAGAATGCCTCATAGGAGCTGAGGTTTTCACAACTGGTGAGGAGATAAGTTATTATCCAGAGCAGCAATAGAAGAGCAACTATTTCCTCTACTCCCTGGCTCTGGCCCCAAGATATATGGGAATAATGGAAAAACAAAGTCACTGACTAAAAACTATCCCTCAGCGCCTCAGGGATATTCAGATAGCACCAAAGACAAAAACAAAGAAAACATCAAGAAGAAGGATGTGGGTAATTGGTGAAAGTAAAGGTTTGGAAGGGAGAGACAGAGTCAGGAGTGGGCTAGAACAGATTTCCAAAACAGAAGATTAGAGTTTGAGTGACTAAAAAAATGACCTGAGGGTGGAAAGTTAAGAAGAAATTCCAACTACATGGGCATTTAGAGCCCCATGGTCTCTAAAGCTCTGTTATGGTATGACTACAGGGCATCCTCTGGGAAGCTTTTCTAACTTTCCATTACCAGGTAGACATCCTTCTCTGGGACCCTATATTACCCTAATGCCTATATACATAATTTAATCTCCATTCAATAAATATTGATTAAATGAATTAATGATTCGCTATAACCTGAGTACATATGAGAAAAATAAATTACAATCAACGTAATAAAGAAATGACATAGCAGAGTCATTTAAAATAAGGAGTTGGTTTAAGATTCAAAGAATGCAAAATAGAGAATTGTTTCCAGTTGATTTTGGTAAAAAATAATGCTTACTGTACAACAAGCTGCTGGCACACAGTTCCATTCTCTGTTATCAGTTCATTCAGTTTTAATTCAAGGTGAACTTTACCCTATAGTGACAAAAAAAAAAAAATTACCGAGTAATCTATTTTGCTAAGAAAATATTAAAGGTATATACTTCTTATTTTTATTTATTTATTTTTTTGTGAGACAAGAGCCTCAAGCTGTCCCCCTGGGTAGAGTGCCATGGCATTTCAGCTCACAGCAACCTCCAACTCCTGGGCTCAAGCAAGTCTCCTGCCTCAGCCTCCCAAGTAGCTGGGACCACAGGC